CGTTGAGGTTGAGGACTATGACTGTTTCTAGTAGCGTAACTGTAGCACTGAAGGAATTGGTACAGGAGATATTAAGTGAAAAAGATTGAAACTCTTCAAAGTCAATGGGTACAGCAGTCACCAGTCTAGAGCCATTAATTGAGAATGTATCATTAGTATTACCATGAAGAATGGCTATACTTAACTCTGTAAATTCACTACCGATCGTGTTGATCTCTGTACAGTTAATATTAGCAATTTCGGCCCCAGGGGGTTTATTTTCACTAATTGTCAACGTTACCCCTGGGGAGGTTAAAACTGGAGAGGGAAGGGGTACATCTGTTATGGTAACAACTATCATGTGGGATGTACTTTTAGGGGAAAGTCCCCCGTCCCTAGCTACTATATGCAACAGGTAAGTACTGAAGGGTTGAAAGAATAGTGGTTTCAATGAAGTAATGACGCCAGTCTCATTGTTGATACTAAAAATAGTAACACCGTCTGAAGTATTAGGAGGCAATGCATGGGGAGATCGGGTCATGTGATAGGTCACGTGACCAGTGTTAGAAGGATCAGGGTCGGTGGCTGATATCGTTAGGATGGGCGTGTCTGAGGGGAGGAGCCTCGAGAGGGAGAGAGTGCTGAGTATAGTGGATGAGAATGATGGGGAGGAGAGATTAATTTCTGTAAAAGTAAAATAAAAAATAAAAATAAAAATAAATACATGTACATGCTTGATAATTTTTATTACATTTTCTGATACATATTGATGCCCTAATGCTGTGTAGCAAGTTTGAGCTGATTCCGACTTCAATTTTTCAAGTTACAGCCATTTTTAAAAATGCCAAAAATTAAAAAAAAACACCTGTACTATATATAAGCCCATGGTTTTTTCTGAAAAATGGCTAAAAAAATCACACCCAATTTTTATTACATTTTCTGATACATATTGATGTACTTATGCTGTGTAAAAAGTTTGAGCTGATTCCGACTTCAATTTTTTGAGTTATTACTTTCTAAAGTTATGCTTCATGCTGCTACACATTTCCTGGTAAATAATAATTAACCCTTTACAATGCTATAATGTCAAATATAAAATATCAAATTATCTTTTTATTTCATTTACTTACCAATGCATTTATTATCAGTATCAACAGTAAAGCCACTAGCACAATTAGTGCAACTATACTCATCAACTCCTCCAACACAACTAGTATATGTAGGGCAGGGATCATTATGAATGCAACCACGCATATCAATCTGACAATAATCACCAGCAAAACCATGAGGACATGAACAGAGAAGACGAGTGTGTCCATTATTATTCAGAGGTAAGTTTGTTAAGTTGTTGCTGCATGTTCCATTATTACTACACTTGCAGAGAAGGATTGATATTCTTTGTAAAGTAGTGATGTTGGTTGAGTCAGTTGATGCTATGTAGAGTGGAGAGGTAGGGAGGGAGGAGATGTCAATGTGGAGGGAACCACTTGAATTTAATTGTATACCAGCTGGTACTGGATCCTGTTTACAGGGAGAGAGAGAGGGGGGAGAGAAGGAAGGTGAAAGTAATTATATTTGTTGTTAGTAGCAATATAATATTTACTACTTCAATTATTTGGATTTATTATACTAAAGCTCAGTATTTGAGCCAATTCCAATGACAATTAAATTTTTTTATGAATTCTTAAAGTTGCTACAAAATCAGACCAAAGTCCCTGTACTATTGTAGCACATGGTCTCAGGCCAAATTTTGCCAAAAATGAAAAGGAGAGAACTTTTAATTTTTATAATATTTTCTGATGCATATACAATTTCTTATTTTGTGTAGAAAGTTTGAGCTGATTCAAATCGAAATTAGATTTTTTACACATAAGATTGCCACTACATGCATAACACTCAACAAAGAAGCTAAAAAATCAATTTGAAATAATTATTTAAAAAATAAAAATGTGATACAAGTCAAAAATTTAGCTAGCAAATTTATTCAGTCTAAAAAACAACAACTCGGCCATTACCAGAATCACAAACATACAAAAATCCATTTTTATCAAATGCCAATCCATAAGGTTGATAAAACTGATATCGAATACTTTTACCTCTTCTTGCAAAATTCCTAACAAACACACCATTACTAGTGAAGACTGATATACGATTAATGCCATCACTAACATACACTAGACCAGTAGCTGCAGTGTCTATTGTTATACCTACTGGCTGATTAAGCTTTCCAGAGCCAATTATTTTATTTCCAAACTGACCTACAAACTTTCCATCTGGAGAGAACTTCTGAATGCGATCATTATCCCTATCAGCAACATACACTAATCCTTGACTGTCAATAGCAATGTCACGTGGATACTGAAATTGTCCATTGGCTAATCCTATACTACCAAATGAATGAGAGAAGGTTAGATCAGGATTCAAAACTTGTACACGATGATTACCACTATCAGCAACATAAACTTGTCCAGTTATAGGAGAAATAGCTATACCAGAAGGAGTACTAAATTGTAGTGGTCCACTGCCTTTCTCACCAACTAATGATATAAGGTATCCATCCATGCTTATCTTCTGGATTCCATGATCATCAGATACAAAAATTAATTTTTCTGGAGAAATGGCTATACCGCGAGGAGAACGAAACTTGACATTACCACTTCCTCCTTTCCCTCCTAATGATTTCCCTCTCTTTTCTCTTCTACCCAGTATTGTTACACACTGACCATTATTGTCAGTTATTATAACATGATTATCATCACTTACAGCAACTCCCCAGGGAAGCTTAAGCATTATAGCATGTACTGGAGTGATGTTATCACGGTAAGGATTGAAAGGGATGACTAGTGAGGTATCCTCAAGGTGTACATCATATACTTGTACTTTTACTGTATGAGTACCACGTGTTGAAGGGTTACATTGTATCCTATAAACTCCAGGATCAGTGCTGATGGTAGTGACTGTAGTGTGAATGGGTTGATCACTTTTACCAACTGGTACTAGACTACACCTTAGAGAAGAGACGGGAAAAGAATCTGGTACCTCCACTGTTAGTAAAAACGAAACTGCTTCGCCAGCAGGTGTAATACGACCAACTTTCTTCACTCTATACTGCTGTAGTTCAGTAGAGGTCATGATATCTCCAATGTGATGTAGCGATTTGATATCTTTACTCAATACAAAGTCAGCTTTTTCCTTTGGATGTAACTCCTCCACATTGATCCCTGCAGTAACTTCACTCATACGCTCCATCATCTGTTTCTTAGACCTCAGGACTTGTTGAGGACTGCCTGTCTTCAGACTCTGTTCCACATAATCCTCAACATCCTCCAGAACACTCAAACTCATTTCTGCTGATTTCAGTTGCTCTGACAGCACCTTTAGTTTAGCATCAGTGACCCTCTTTGCCTGCTCAGTCAGTTTCCTCTCTGACTCACGAAGAACATTCATCATTTCCTCTACCATTTCATGTATTTCTTTTAAGACTCCTTCTCCTTTCTCTCTGATCTCACCCTCTCTCTCTGCTAGAGCAGACAGGACCTTCTTAAGTGCTTCCTTCTTTCCCTCAACTGGTGATAGACATTCTCTTAACTTTTGATAGTGTTTAGTGTAACTGTCAGTGATTAAGTCATATTGATGATGTTTGTGATTACGAAATGGACAGTGAGAACAGATTACTGTATCACATGTTTCACAAAAGAACTCCAAAGGCTTTCCATGATCAATACATGTGGCCTCTTGAGGATTAGGCAAAACTGCTGTCTTCTTCATTAGACTGTACATCTCTTTGAGATTATTGATAGTGAATGCTACAGGAAAGGCTCCTGCTCCATCTTCTGGTAACTCTGTACAATGACGACAAGTGGGACAAGAGAGGTAATAGGTCTCATTCTTCTTATCCAGAGGTAATCCCTCCAGACAGTGCTCACAGAATGAATGTAGACAAGGTAAAGTCTTAGGGTTGGTATAGTGGTCAAGACACACAGGACAGGTGAGCTGTTCCTCCAGTTTGAGGAGACCAGGAGAAGAAGATGAAGATGGTTTGGTTGCCATTTAAAATTGTAAGGAAGAGAGATAAACGTAGATGGTAAATGAAGATAGAGCAAGAAAAAACAATAAGAAAATGAAGAAGTCAAAATGAAAGACCAAAAGAATGAAGCAAAGACAGCCCTGATGACCTTTTAAGATATTCATAAGTTTTAGTGACTGAAGGAAGTTATGACAGTGTACAAAAATCATTCATCATAACAACCATATAATTTTTTTAATGTGATTTTAACAAAACAATTATTACACTCTTATACTCATTAAAAATTTTATTACAAAATAAAAGTCATTCTAATAAACAACAAGCCGGCTATTACCAGAATCACAAACATGCAAGAATCCATCTTTATCTAAAGATAATTCATAAGGATAGTTAAAATGATCAATATTACTGCCTTCACATCCAAACTTGCTAACAAAAGCACCATCACTAGTGAAGACTGATATACGATGATTGCCCCATTCACTAACATACACTAGACCAGTAGCTGCAGTGTCTATTGTTATACCATTTGGACTATTAAGCTGTCCAGGACCAGAACCTTTAGTACCGAACTGACTCAAGAAATTACGATCTTGAGAGAACTTCTGAATGCGATGATTACCATAATCAGCAACATACACTAATCCTTGACTGTCAATAGCAATGTCATGTGGTAGCTGAAACTGTCCATTAGCTTTACCTTCACTACCAAATGAATGAGAGAAGGTTAGATCAGGATTCAAGACTTGTATACGATGATTAAACCAATCAGCAATATAAACCTGTCCTGTTATAGGAGAAATGGCTATACCATGAGGAGTATTGAACTGCAGTGGTCTATTGCCCTTACACTTCTTACCAACTGATGCTATAAGGTATCCATCCATGCTTATCTTCTGGATCCTGTGATTATCAGATACAAGAATGAATTTGTCTGGAGTAATGGCTACACCACGAGGAGAAAAAAACTTGACATTACCACTTCTTCCTTCCCCTAGTCCTAATGATTTCATTTTCTTTCCTTCTCTATCCAGTATTGTTACACAGTTACCATGATACTCAGTTACTATAACATGATTATCATCAGTTACAACAACTCCAGAGGGATAATTAAGCTCAGTTATAGTACGTACTGGAGTGATGTTATCAAGGTAAGGATTGATAGGGATGACTAGTGAGGTATCCTCAAGGTGTACATCATATACTTGTACTTTTACTGTATGAGTACCACTGGTTGAAGGGTTACACTTTATCCTATACACTCCAGGATTGCTGGTGGTAGTGACTGTAGTGTGAATGGGTTGATCACCTTTACCAACTGGTACTAGACTACACCTCAGAGAAGAGAGGGGAAAACACAAAACAGATGAATCTGGTGCCTCCATTGATAGTGAAAACGAAACTACTTTGCCAGCAGGTGTAATACAATCAATCTTCTTCACTCTACACTGTTGTAGTAAAACAATATCTCCAATTTGATGTAGAAATTTGATATTTTTACTCAATACAAAGTCAACTTTTTCCTTTGGATGTAACTCCTCCACATTGATCCCTACAGTAACTTCACTCATACGCTCCATCATCTGTTTCTTAGACCTCAGGACTTGTTGAGAGCTGCCTGTCTTCAGACTCTGTTCCACATAATTCTCAACATCCTCCAGAAGACGCAAACTCTTTTCTGCTGATTTCATTTGTTCTGACAGCACATTTAGCTTATCATCAGTGACCCTCTTTGCCTGCTCAGTCAGTTTCTTTTTTAAATCATTCATCATTTCCTCTACCATTTCATGTATTTCTTCTAAGACTCCTTCTCCTCTCTCTCTGATCTCACCCTCTTTCTCTGCTAGAGCAGACAGGACCTTCTTGAGTCCTTCAATTTTCTCTTTTATCGGATTAAGAGATTTCTCCAGTGCTTCTTTGTGTTTAGTAAAACTATTATCTATTAGGTTATATGTGTGACCTTTATGAATGAGTATAGCACAATCATGGCATACTACACTATCACATGTTTCACAGTAGAGCTTCATTTTCTTGTTATGAGTGGAGCAAGTGGGGGTTGCCTCCTGTTTAGCTGGAGCTAGCAATTGAGAAGTAGAAGAGACATCAGAGGCTGTCACCTCATTAAGACTTGTCAGCTGATGGTTAGAAAAGTCGGTCCATTTCTTGTGGGTAGAGATACATTCAGGACACATAAACTTACTGCAGTCTTTGCAGTATCCAGTGGCATTAGCTGTAGTACAGTTGTCACAGGTGACCTGTTCAGGATCAGCTACTTTCTTCATTAGACTGTATATCTCTTTGAGGTTGTTGAGAATAAATGCTACAGGAAAGGCTCCTACTCCTTCTTCTGGTAACTCTGTACAATGACGACAAGTGGGACAAGAGAGGTAATAGGTCTCATTCCTCTCTTCCAGAGGAAATCCCTCCAGACAGTGCTCACAGAATGAATGTAGACAAGGTAAAGTCTTAGGGTCAGTATAGTGTTCAAGACACACAGGACAGGTGAGCTGTTCCTCCAGTTTGAGGAGACCAGGAGAAGAAGATGAAGATGGTGCGGTTGCCATTTCAAGAAAAGAACAAAATTGTTTATGTAAAGCAAAATGAAGAAGGTGGAAGGAGGAGAGAAAGACTAAAGAAGATCAGCTAGGCACAAAGAGTGGGCGATTTCTTAAATATATTCAAAGATCTTGTGACTAAGGTTACTATATTCACTAACGTGACACACCAATAACAGAGGAGCAATTGACAAAACACAAAAGTGTGTATTAGATTAAGTATTACAAAACTTGGTATCAGCTTTACTCAAAGCTCATGCAGTATCAACCTCCCCTTTACAGTTAACCATAGGGTATAAATGTCACAGTTTGTGTACTTTGTACATAATAATGTAAATCATGGCATGATAAGTGAGTTTAAATGATAGTTATAAAAAGAACACAAAGTCTCTGTACTATAGTACATGCAAGTCTCGGAATAAACTTCGCCAAAATCGAAGAGGAGAGAACTCTCCATTTTAATAATTTTTCCTATTGCATATACATGTTCTTATGCCGTGTAGAAAGTTTACGCTGATTTAAATCAATTCTTGATTCTTTACAAATTTTTATTTGTTCAAAATCATGTCTCATCTCTCATTACTATACACATCCCTCTCTCTCTCTCTTCCTTACTTTGATTCTAATGATAGTTTCATTATTGGTGTTAGGATCCTCTCCAATATATTGTACTGTAGTGGGTGTGTCTCCTACTGTCACTGTAATAGTTCTATCACCAGTAATGACTGGAGGAAAATTAACTACAAAATTACAACAATAGTAATAAAATAATGATAATAAAATAATCAACAGGTTAATAACAAAAATGAAGCAAGTTATAGGTATATGTATCAAGCATGTACATGTATAATAATAGAAAAACAATAAAAACAGCAACAAAAATAGTCTCTAATAATAATCATGGCTACAATCATTAGAACAGGAAACCAATACACACCTTGTGAATATCATTAAGTTAAATCTATTCAATACTTGTTTACTGAAAAAAACAATCAAAATATGTACACATGCTAAAACACAGTGTAGTGTTTTACATGTATGGCACATGTAAATAATAATTTAATCGCATTACCTAAATTTTCTCTTATTTTCTGATTATTTTGTCTTATGATACGAGTGGTACGCCCAAGATTAGTATCCATGGTTAAACTGATATCGTACAGACAGCCATAATCAGTACCACAGGTTGTCACAGCAGTGGTGTTAAGGGTGGGGTTGTTCTCTAGTAATACAAGACCAAAAGTAGGAGTGGTGAGTATATTGTATAGTTCATAAGTGTATTGTGAATGATAGTGGAATATCGACTGGGTCTCTGATACTTGCCCTTAGGAGAGAAGAAGGAGAAATTAAGAGAGGGAAAGAGAGAGAGAGAGAGAGAATAAAAATTTAAATGTATATATACATGTATAATGTACATATACATACACTTGCATGTTGGGTTTCTACATACAAAAGTTTCCTAAACTTATAAGAAGCAAAGACTATGTACTATTATAGTACAGGGGCCGGCTTTTGTCTGATTTTTTTTGCAATTTTAAAAATTCGTAAAAAATCTAAATGTGATCGGAATCAGCTCAAACTTGCTACACAACATAAGAACATGTATATGTATCAGGGAATATT